GCAAAAGAAAATATCGCTACTCTACATAAGAAACGCAGTTTTCTCGATTCGCACTTTCCGTACACTGATTTTAGTCTCATACGCATACATCTAAATGTTGAAAACGTAAACCTACGACAAACCTGCATAAAAATATATTTAAATATAATTAATTAAACATTTTCACTATTCAGTTAAAATATATCAGATAATTTGTAGACAAAAACAAACAATATTTGAACTAGACATTTTAGTTTTTTAAACACTTTAAGTGCAGGTACTACCATTTATTAACTGTTAGTACATTATTTGGTAAAATTATAATATCTGAGCTACATGTATCTCCCGTATATGACCAATCTGAAGAAGAAAATAAATTGAATTAAACAAAAAATTATTCTCTTCTGGTAAATAAAGGCAACAGTAGTATACCGCTGTTCAATAGTCATAAATCTCTTCTGGTAAAACATTCGTTATAATAAGTTAAACCATATACATTTTTCATCTTAAGAAAGTCTTACAAACTAATGGCATTCCTGCCTCAACATTTGCATATTACATTAAAGATCCAGACCGATTGATTTTATGCTATTTTACAATCCAAAGACACCATCAAATACAATTTACAGCACTGCTGAACATCAGCTTATTTGCAATAGATTATTTTCATATTACCGACTTTTGACTCACGATCATATAATTTTTCGACAGGTTACCTTCTCTGTGGTAGGACGTCCTGGTACTCGGTCAAGTAATAGCAAGCAAAAGTAAAATCAAACATATAATCGCGGCAACTTTGTGGGAAAGTTTGCTGTTTTCGGTATTATGAAAATAGTCTATTGGTCACATATGCGCTTAATGGTCAACCTCCTCGTAACTGAAATAGAGCTTTCTCCATATTTCGTAATTAGTTAAATATTTATATTTGAAAAAATGAGAATAGGTATTCCTTCCACTAGTATTTATATGTTCTTAGAAATGGTTCCGAACTTGTATATGCATAGCAATTCTTGGTATTAATGGAAAAAGCAAATACTGGTTGCTATATTATAACAATAATACTCAAAATGTCCGTCCGTTTGACCCGCTTCAGGTTAAAGTTTTTGGTCAAGGTAGTTTTTGATGAAGTTGAAGTCCAATCAACTTGAAACTTAGTACACATGTTCCCTATGATATGATCTTTCTAATTTTAATGCCAAATTAGATTTTTGACCCCAATTTCACGGTCCACTGAACATAAAAAATGATAAAACGAGTGGGGCATCCGTGTAATATGGACACATTCTTGTTTTTGCCTGAACATGACTTTTCTTACTTTATAAATGTATTGTAAGTTTAAGTGAATTTCTTGAACTGATCTTTATTAAACTTCTATGTATCTTTTTGTGCAACTAGGCGAGAAGAAAAGATGGACAGATGAAATCTCAAAGAACTAATTAAACGCAGGCATAAGCATCTATAATAAGGAAACGTGTTGCTTATTTTGGAAATATCTTCGTTTCATTCTTGTTTTTAGGGAATCTAATTTCTATGGCAGATCTTTGACAAAGTAGTTAAGTTTCTTTATAAGTATTCTTTATTCAAGGCGATTTAGAATTTGACTACTTACTTTTTAAAAATATTTCTGTTGAAGATCAAATATTGACTAATAGATATCTTAAGGAATTTTTTAATGTATTGATATATACTCCGATTTCTCATATTATTCATACTTTGTGAGACAACAACCTAACAACGAAAATAATCCACAATTTCAATAAAGGAGATTATAAGTAAACATGAATGAGACGATGACCAAACAACACAAAAATCAAAAGACATCTATTTTACAGCTACAAAAACCCACATATCACGAGAAATAAAAAGCAAACCAATGGAAACCGTTTTTTTGATGGAGTAAATTGATCATGCTATAGAATACACTTATTGACTGGTTATGAGAAGAATAGCAAGTTCGTTTCCTATGATATGCCAACTATTGCTCGAGGGAAAGCAATAGTGGGCATCTCGTATAACATAACGATACAATAAATAAACAATATATGTTTCAAATTGTTACGTCGTCGTATGTTATTAATACTAGTTTCAATCTTTTATCTATTTGTTTAACTTGTCAATATAATATCACTACCTTGATTCGAAATATAGGTAGCAATAACATATACAAACATTAGATCCCCATAGGATGTTTTAAAAATGCATTCTTATCTTATACTTGTTTAAACTTTACAGATACTCGTGTTCTGTATAGTCGCTTTCAGAATCATTTTTTTTATATATATAAAAAACAAGTATGGTTCTCTACATTTGCTGCTTATACTTGCCGTTGTAAAATGACTGTTATATAATATCGTCAGCTACCGCAATGTACCGTTCCCACATGAGGAGTTTCCCATGTACTCTAATATATTGCATTTTTGTAGATTTTGAATTGAAAGCTAGACTATTGTTAAAACAGCTTGGTTTTTATCTATTTTGAAACATTGCCTAGGCAATATTCACTCACACACGACCACCTACCCTTCCAACCACCCATCCAAACAAACACACACACACATATATGCCTCTGTATATCTTAATCTATTTCAAATTATTAAATTAAATGTGAATTATTTCGTGTGATCAATATTTAAATGAAAGTTTCTTTGAACATCTTTAAAATTTAGACATTTCGGGTGAAACGAATTCAATTGACTTAGCCTTTTTTTATGACTTTATCAAGCACCATTTTATTTCAATCATATATTCAAGATCATTCAAAAATATATCACACTTTAATTCCGACTAGGAAATGGCAAAAACGAGCATATTGCTGATTTTGAATAAAATAAAAACTTGTAAAGGAAAATGATTCATTAATAGATTCAGAAACATTTTAAATTGAACATGTTAGAATACTGATACTTACGTATGTAATAAAAATGGCATGCGTGACAATTTGATAATTTTCAATATACTTTAATTACGCAGTATTATTTGAAATAAACTGGTTCATACAAGGCAAACATGTACAACCTGGTTTAAATTGCGCCTCTTTCAAAATATCGAACAAAACAGCTAAATATATAATGTAAACATATAATGTGTATGTCTAATGATGCATACAAAAGTAAGTAAAAAGTAATGCAGCTCTGAGATTGGTTGGTAGTTACTCTAGACTAGACTTCCTGGTTAAAAACTAAGTACGTACGTCTCAAGTGTTCAGCGTACAATGATTTAAGGTAGGCAATTATTTTTTATCAGAACAAAACGTAAGCGTATATCATATTTAAAATTGTTATGTATATTGTCAACACTAATATTTTTGTTTATTATCCTATATGTTGTTGTAATTTCTTTTATTTGTAATCATAGTTATCATATTGGATGGGCATCTGGGCTTCTCCAGTTCTGGTAATGACGTCCTTGTTGAAGTCGAGCGTTCGTTTGACTGTACGAAATGTTTGAAGACACAAACTCTTCCTGCCAGAAAAGGAGATGTTAAAGCCGATGCATAGTATAGGGTTACTGCATGTTGAGGAACACTTGCAGAACCTCGCTGAGGGGTCAGAGAGGAGGCCTGCTGGAAAGCAAAAATGTTCGCCCTAATCAGTCTTAATATTATTTTCCAGTGGCAGTCCACATTTCTCGTCCTTTGACCCGGTCGTCACCCACCTTTATGAACCTACCTATTGTATTGATTTTTAAATGTTTTCTCATCACCATGTATGGAACAACTGACTTTGAACGTTTACCAATAATAACTAATCAATCAATAACGCTTTTAAACGGAGGAAATTTTAAGGATAAATCGTAAGGTGTTTCTTTTTAAAACCAGGTTCTATTTTTTCATTTCCAAAATATAAAAAAAATGTGCATGTATTTTATATATTGCAGTTTGTTACTATTGAAAATATTTTGAGAAGTACTTCTACAATCAAATGAAAACATCGACTCGTAACAATGACGCTGTTTTTGTAATGGTTTTGAATCTTACTTTCCTTGCTTCGTACTGACAAGATGGCAAGTTGTTCACTCATTTATTACATTATATCAAGAAGCTGTCATTAAAATCGTTCTATATGGTTTCATTAAATTTTAAACTGCTGTTGTCGTTATAAGGGGAGGGGATTGGAATTGAGTCATAAAAGTTTTCTTATTTATCATTTGAAACAACAATACATTTCATTTATTCTTTTTAGCTTTATTTCAAAAATTTACAATTTCACTTCGGGAATTACAAAGGGTGACTCGTGTTGTGTTCAGTTCATAAATTTGTTGTTTAAAATCTCAAAAGTGGGCAAACGAAAAAGTAATGATGAACATCCTCAATATCTGATCCGCATTGACAAGAAGGATCAAGTATAATGTTAGCTCGAAAAAGATCGTAGTGTAAGAATGAAGCGGAACATCGGAGTTGAGTTGGAATAATATTCAATTTCTACGGACCGTACAAATAAAACGTTTCAACTTTACTTACGAGACTATCGTTCTTCAATTCCTTCCTCAATTTAGAATATAGAGTCGACTCTGTGAATTTTTGGATCAAGCTTATTCGATTAATGCAATTATAAAATCAAAAACCAATAAACTATCACAATTGAATTTCGATTAAGACAGAATAGAAAACAAGCAAACCACTCTACCATTTTCATAAACCTATAAAGAAAAATATGATTCTTTATATATTTAGTGATCTCAACCTTGATATGCGGTCTTTGTTTTGATCATTGTTGAAGGCCGTACGGTGAACTATACTTGATAAACTTCTACGTTACTTAGTCTCTGGTGATGAGTTGTATCATTGTCAATCAAACCTCAACTAATTTTTCTCTTGGCAGTCAAACATTTTTAACTTGTCAATGACATTAAAGAAGACCTGTACTACGTTTTGCCTCATCAAAAAAACGTATGTGACGATGATTATTTAAATATCTATTGAATATAATTTGAATACGCATTTATGTTTTTAAATTAACACGTTTCATACAAAGAAATGATTATAATCTGGATTGATTATAAATGCCCGTCTTTCAAAATATCGAACAAAAGAGCTAAAACGTTAATGTATATGTCAAATGATACGTACAAAGATAGGTAAAGCAGATCGAAAATTTTAAATTAGTTGATTGTTACCTTATTAGACTATACTTAATGATTAAATTATAAGTAAGCGTACAATGATTTAAGGTAGGTATTTTTTTATATAGATAATATTATAGACTAGATGTACGTTTTATTTCGCAATGATAAGCCAACTTTAAACACTAATGCAATTGTTTATTCTCCTAAATATTTCAATTTTCATCTTTTTACTTTTTGTCTTAATTTAACATGTGTATGTTCTATTATATCAACTTGAATGTTGAGTTTTGTATGTAATGTCCGTAATATAAAGCATGATATATGTATGTGTTTTAAAAGCTACATAATGTGACTGGCTTCATTAATACTCGAAAGTCTTCTACAACCATATAGAAAAGACCTCTCCTTAAATATGATTCTGTTTTTTGTATTGGTTTCCTTGCATCGCACTGACTACATTATAGATGGCAAGGCAGTTATTCATTTAACAAAATAGAAATTGTCATTTAGATCTATCTGAATGGCTTCATTTAATCACATTAAAAATTAACATTTTAGTTATAACACTGCTGTTGTTAAGGTTCTGCTAATTTTTTGTGTGGATGGAAGAAGGGAAGAAAGGAAGGTAGGATAGTTAATATACATTTCGTTAATCGAGAAATGAAACAAGGGTAATATCCAAGTTTTTACTATTTTTGTTTTCTGTATTTAAGGTGGATGGGGGTCTTAATTAAAATCCATAGAATGTTTTAATAATTTGTCAAAATGTAGTTTTTATCACGCTTTTTTCCAAATATAATAAAAAGTATGGGTCACCGGACTTTTTTTCACGGTACATGTTGTGCAAAATTGTCAGATTTTGTATAGATTATGCATGGAAAATCCAATTTTGGGTGATAAAAAGAAAACTACACAATAGAATTTTAAGATAAAATGGGAGAAGATAGCTCTTATAACATGCTTTCAGATAAGAAAAAGAAAAAATGGGGTCACCGAGCTTGTTTTCTTGCTACATATTAAATTTGGTAAATTCACAACACTTTCTATTATAAAAATAACTTTAACTGAGTTATCTCCCCTACTATCTGAGTTATCTCCTCTTATGTGGCAAAGTTGAAAAAAATGAATCAAACAAAAATATTGTGTTTCTTAGAAAATACAGCCGTAAATATGATAAAACACATAATTTTCTATATTAACATGAAAAGTCTTACACATGAATTACATACGACTCTCAATATTTGCACATTTCATTAAAGATCTAGACCAATTGTTATCTGCTACTTTTTTTTGTACTTCAAAATCCAAGATGGAGGAAGACACCCCAGCCACCTTAAATTCTTTACAATTTCACTTCGGGGAATGCAGAAGAGTGGTCTTTACTGTTCATGGCATTGCTGTTTTAATTTGTTAAACAAGCCACCGATATTAAAGAGTAGGATGGCATGTTTTCTAAATAAGAAATGTTGATGTACTTTGAACTTGCTTTCTGTAACTGTATGATATAACTAAGTATTGGTTTACTTGTTTTGTCTTTGTTTTTCTCTATTTCTACCCGTTCTACTATAAAATAACTTATTGACAGTTCGTTATGTACCTTCTATCATTTCAATTTTCAAAAATAAATCTGTAACAGTTCATAAGAAACGAGGTATTCCTAAATATATAACAACAATAATTTGATATCCGTATACGCTATTTAACACGAAGGTAGTTGGTTAATGTTGAATTAAACATTTAAGTAAGCGTTTTTCAGTAGATTTAAAACTCTTTTTATATTCTTGGTGCTTTCGATATTGATTTGACTGATTACTCTGGCTGTTAACATAGAAATTAAGCGTTTTTGTATAATACTGTTAAAATAGTTGGAGAATTTACTTTATTTTGGGGAATTTCTTAATGTTAAAACGTTTAGAAATTACAAATTTTATAATGTTATCAACTTTTCCTGTACTTCGGAACTGGCATGAAAATACGGATTCCTGTAGTACAAAATTTTGATTGTTTTTCCTGTTGGTTTATAAGCTGTTCATTTTTCAAGCTATAAACAAATTGTTTGACGAACTTTTGCATTTCATATTTCAAATATTTAAATTTTCATATAGAGCATTGTCCATTATTTAAGTTACATTCTGCTCAACTCGGCCATTTGAGTCTTTGATCGTTTTTATTTCAAATATTTTGGCCTCGAGCATCACTGAATGGACATTTATTGCCAAAATGCACGTATGGTGCAGTAAAATTGGTACTGTTGATGTTTTCCTGATATTTCAATGATTATTTTGCAGTCATACAATTTCCTTTCATTTAAAATTTTTTAATTGTTTTCATGATAATTTGTTTTAATTGCAAAGAAATGAATAATTCCCTTTGCCAATTTTCAAACAGTCAACTTGACAGATTATCAATTTTGAACACCTTTATAATTGTATTGGTCGATCAGAACTGTTTTTTATGGTGTTCAATCGGAACTAGCTAAAAAAAGAGGAGAAATTATAGAGAAAAGAGTCAAAATCCACGTGGGAGAAAAAAGGCAATAGTAGTATACCGCTGTTCATTAGTCATAAATCGATTAAGCGAAAACAAATCCTGTTTACAAATTAAAACCGAGGAAAACAACGGAACAACAGAAACACTGAACTGCAACAAAAACAAACGCCAAACATGCATAGAAACGGAGAAAATCAGATAGGCCATGACAAAAAGAAGAACGACGAAGGACAATCATTAGTTCATAAAAAAGCATTAGAAAAACTGAAGATTAATCAAAACGAACCTAATAAAAATACGGTGGTGAATACAGGTTTAATGAAAGGGCATGTACTTCTGCACAAGATCCGCATTTCGGCAATTAATGAATCTTCAATGTTCGAGGCCAAAATATTTGAAAATCCAGTCAAGTCTAATACAAACGTTAAAAAGCTGATCAACCAAAACAGCACCGACAATTAGGCTGGAGGAAAAATCAAACGAATGCATTAGGATAATACATTTCTTATTTCAAAATGATTTCAAAATGATTTCAAAATTGTGAAAGATCACACAAAAATTTAAAACATCTCATTTGTCATAAAGCCTATTTCTCTTTCGATATTAATTGAAATAACTTAATTCATAACAGTGTTGACGAGACCATTCGTGCATTGTCGTTGGCACGCTCAGTTCACCAATTGGCTGAGTCAGATCAGGTACCCGTTTGTCTGTTACGCCCACTTAATACGTTGTTTTTACAAGGGACATTTAAACGTACGGGGTCGCCAAATGTTTCTCAATAACTAGAAAAAAATGCTACAGGCGTATTGATTAACATTGAATATTTTGACATTCTTCACCGATAATCGATAATCAGAATATTTATCATATCGCCCGTTCTTAAAATATTAACATAAATTTTAAATAGCTTTGAAAGTAGTAATGAATGACCTTTTTCGGACTTCAAAATGAATTTACAATTTGTACCGGCTCTTCGTATTTTTCAACTTTTATCTTGTCTTAAAGTACTTACTTTTATTACTTTTAGAACGGATGCATGGTAAACTTTAAATCGTGGTGCAATCAAAACAATAAATTAACTTTCGTACGGTCTTTTTCGTACTTGCGATATCTTGTCATTGTATGATGTTAACTTTATTTTTGGTTAAGGTATATAGCAATTTGTTTTTACGAAATTCTTAACTTAATAATTTACGTTTAATAATACAAACTCCACATTTTACATGCCAGTACCGTAGTAATAATTCCTGGGCTGGTGATACCCTCGGGGACTAACTGTCCACCTGCAGTGTTTGAAATCTCTTAAAAATGCTCCGATATTTAAATGTAGGATGGCAGGTTTTTAAATCAGATCTTGATGTATTTTGAGATTGCTTTCTGTAACTGCGAGCATTCTGTGATATTCTATAAGAATTAATTTCATATCGGCAACTTATTCTTTTATCAATTCAAACTTAAAATAGTAAAAAAAGACACTTGTTTGGCGATATACACATTACGGCTTGTAGACATTTTTTTTAATGAAGTTGGTTAAATTTGTAATTGTCTTTTTCTATATTACGCCAGTAAGTATACAATAGAAAATGAAGTTAAAAGGCTCAATCATACAAGACACGTCATCAAATTATTATTAGTATTACAGAAAGAATTTAAACAAAGCTATATATATATACAAAATAAAATAAAGTTCATAACTTATCTTCGATTTAACATGTTTAAGAAGCTTATTAATTTAATGCAATCTTACATAACCTATGATTATCATTGATATTTCACACGCAAATATTATCTTATGATGATAATATTGCTTTTATTTCTGAATTACAAATGAAATTTTGCACACTAGTGTTCAACTAAAAAATTCTTTTCTTTACTGATATTGTGACAAAAACTTTTATTGTAAAACGAAATTATATACTAAATCTTCATTTTTAGGGAACAAAGACTGACATTTTTTCTCCATCTATTGTCCAAATTTGTTTTTCTAGATTCTACAGATATAGTCATATCTGTAATTTAAAGTCAGTAGGGTCAATGTAACCTGAACCTCGGATGAAAATTTGGATTCTTTTTTCGTGATGATCCTTAAATTATTTCGGTTGCAGTGGTCATAAACATATTGGAATGTAAGAATATCGTTTTTGAATAAAACAAAAGAATACAAAGCATACAATGTGTCTTTCTTATTTTAGACCATTCACATCTTTACGACGGATATCAAACATCAAACAATCTTTCACATAAGAAGTCTACATTTTAACCGGAGAGTCGTGTTGTTCTTTAAAAAAATATGAATTCGATAATTTTTAAATGTCAACGCAAAGATGAAAGATAGTGAATTCGTTTTACATGTAAAAAAAACCAAAATATTATTTTTTTACCGTTAATCACAAAAATGTTCATGAACCGGCAAATATCAATACATTTGCAAGTCCATGAAAAATGAGATATCTTTTTGAAATAAAAAAAAACAGTGCTGGCGACTACAATTTAAAATAAGGAGATGTGGTATGGTTGTCAAAGAAAACAACTATCCACCAAAGTTCAAATGAAAAGGAAATAAGCAACTATAGGCAACCATACGATCTTCAATAATCAGAAAACCGATACCGTATAGTCGGCTATAAGAGCCCCCGATATGAAAAATGTAAAAAAATAAAATTGATAAAAATAACGGCCTAATTCATAACAAGACAATTAACGAAAAACAAATATGACAGAAATGATACAACGACAACCACTGAACTACAGGCTCCGAACTAGGGACAGGCATATAAAGAGTGTGGCGGTATTAAACATCTAGATGGAGAAATCAAGATTAAAATAGTTGCATACAAAATTCTTTAAGTTTGCAAATAAACGAAAATAAAGTTGATACATGTAAGAAGGAATCCCATTGGCGAAAACAGCCTGTGCAATCTAAATCATATACTTATCTTTCAGTTTGTGCAAAACATCAGCAAGAACGTTCCTTCTGTAAAAGATATAAAAAGAGTTATATTTCTCCTTACAAAAGATGTTAAAAAGTGTAGATTTCTTTACATTATGTAAGATCATGGAAAGTTAAAATATCTCTTCTGGCCAATGTGGTATAACATCCGGAAAACCGTAATCGCTAATCAATTGTCAAAATTCAAGTAACACTGAAGTTTATGCTTTATAGTTTTGCGGATAAAGAAGAATGAACTTCAGTGAATATGTTGAACAGAATGATGTATAAATATCTATAGAATTTATGACATCGCAAGAAGTGGAGTCATTAAAGTTCAGCTTCTTCGTGTATGAAATAACTTAAATAGTTTTGACTACACTTGCTCTAATATTCAATATGTATTTGATTGTCAACATTTTTGGTTTTGGCATGACTGAAGGCCTTTTATTTGAAGAAAACACATATTGCTGACGGTCCAGATTGGGATTACAGAAAAGATATTAATGAACCAAAAATATAAAAATAGATAAAATAGACAGCAAACTAAAACAGAGGGAATAAAGAGGAAATAACTTCGTTTTTAATTTTTTAATAGATAACTTGGATTAACATGTTACGCCATCTGCATTTCCTATGTTTTTTGTCAATGTGGGGATACAGTCTGTGCTGCCCTTCCTTGTGTACTTGTTATTCAGATGGAAGAGTCTACTGTAATAATCCACAACAAACGTTTGATTCAATACCTACAGATTTACCTTCAAATACTAAATTCCTGTAAGTAATATTAATATATATATATATTCATTTCATTCAATATTCAATGGAAAGTCAGGGTTTTCTTTCAACTTGAAATTTATGTGTACAATGATTAAAGTTGTTTCAAATATAAAACAACCGTAAATATGCTATAAATTACGAAGATGGTAATAACCTCTTTGTAGCAAACCGAATACAATGTGGCAGGGTTGAGACATCTATATTAAGCTCATTTAGAATGACATTATTTCTTATGTATCACCTCACGAAGACGCCTTCTTCTTTTTGTCTCATAGCTAAGTATTAGGAAGTGCGGTTTATACAAGAATGGATATTTTCTAAACGTCCGGGATGCTGATCAAAATTTGTATCGTGTACCATCGCACCAGAAGCCATATCCCAACCCTCAATGCACTATCATGATAACGAGAAAACTAGCATTGTATATTCTCATTACTCAATTCCACATGCCAATTGTAAATTCTTTGCATGAGTTTGCGAAATTATTTAACCGTAAGTTTTTGCAGTCGAAACGAGGATGCTTCCGGTTTAAACAGTTTTATTATATTCGGTAAAATAACTAACTTGACAATTCCGATGTCTCCAAGTAAGTGGAAGAACGTTTAATAACCAATTAAGGAATAAAAAAGTTAGCAAAAATACCAGACTTACATACCTCATAGATCTATACTTTGAAATTGGGGGACAAAATATTTTAGTTTATACTATTAAAACAATTTATAGGAATATTCAAATATGTTTGTTTCAATTTTATATAAGGATATGTTGGGTTTTTTTAAATGTCCACAACAAATTAAGTTAAAACGAGGAAAATATTTATTAATAAACGTTTCACTGTCACAAAATACGATGGCATTTTTAAACATCCGACTTTATTTAATTCCTGATGACAGAAAGGTAAAGTACTGGTGTAATTTTAAGTAATCATTTAACGAATACAGCAAACAAAACAAAAAATAACATGATATTATAGCTGAGGTCAATTCTTTTTATTGATATATTTCATATTTCTATTTCAAGGTACTTTCAAAACCAGCTTTTACGAAATCTCAGCTCTTTGAATTGTAATAAGTTACCGAACCTTCAACAGTTGTAAGTATCCTTCCTATCTACATGTACATCTCAAAACAACCGCTGTCCGATATTTTTGCAAGGAACAAATAAATTAAAATGTCAATTGTTCGTGAACAATTGAGACGTCTTTCTTTTCATAATGTAAAATATGTGTTCAAATAGGCGTACAATGTATTAGAAAGCCTTAAAACACACAAAATACACTTAAAATAGGATCAAAAACATATAATTCGCTGTTATAGACATGACTTTGAACTTTGACCTTATAGCTTTTGTCAGGGTCATTAGTCCTATATGTCATTACAAAAGATCACATGGGACTAGGACCTTTGTTTTAAGAGTTAAAGCTTATTTCGTCTTTTCAGAATCCATTAACCGGAGTTACGTCCCTTGCAGAAGGGTCAAATCTCTTTGGTCAATTGTAACAAAGTTGCGCCTTAATGACCCAATTATTTTCCACTATTCAATACTTCTTTAAGTATAATGGTTTCTGAGATTATCCAATAACAAGGTGTTAGGTCAAAGGTCAACCTATAAATTTTAACTGGAGGCATTTTCATTATTACATGAATTAATGACCATTGGTGAAGATCCTATATCTAGCTATGTGGCTACGGCTTACGGTTTCTGAATTTTAGTGGTCAACTGACTTCGGTTAATTTTCACAGGGACATAACCATACCAATGAGTCTTTGAATCTTTTCGATCTAAATGTAACGTAGAACCAGGGTATGTTGCTGAACGAATTCCACCCTTCTGTTTTGTTCTGCCTATTACGGTGATGTTCATCCATGAACAAGGTATTAAGGTTTTGGGCAGATAACTCCGGACAGACAACATTTTACGACTCACAGGGTGAGTTCCGGATAGGTATTTGGTACATCAATACAAAGTGTGAACCTGCAAACGACATGTTTTACGGTTACGGAGGCAAATCTTGTCATCTTGTCAAAGTTTGGCGGAAGAATAATAATTATAATCAGAAGAAATACAGTAAGGTCTTAGAACACCATTACACACACAATTTCATTTAATATTCCTGTACTTGTCTATAAATAAAACAATTTTTGTTTTGTTTTTAGAAATTTATTTACCTGTGATAATATAAACGTCACAAAAAATACGTCACTTTTTCTGACGTTGACCCATTCATATGACGCGCAGTTTATATTTCGTTTGTGGTGTCCTGGTGTGATGTCGTAAATTAATGGCCGGTGTCCGTTGTTATTTAGCGGTTTACATGTTGTAATGTACAATTATATTAATTATTGATGCATTTCTCTACGCTGATTGTTCTTGTGTTTGTTTGTACTGCATTCCTGTCACGTAGTTTTGTCATTTTAACGGTATTTTTAACAATGCTATATAAGCAGGAGGTTTGGCAAGCCATAAAACCAGGTTCAACCCAAAATTTTTTCTTAAAATGTCCTGTACCAAGTCAGGAATATGGCAGTTGATATATACAGTCCGTTTCTATGTATGTTGGCGTTTGCTTTTGTTGTAGTTCAGTGTTTCTGTTGTTCCGTTGTTTTCCTCTTACAGTTGATGTGTTTCCCTCTGTTTTAGTTTGTTACTGGGATTTGCTATTGTTTAATCGAATTATGACTATTGAACAGCGGTATACTACTGTTGCCTTTATTTGTCATATATTTTTGGTCCGAGGTAAAGATCAAGATATGAAGCAGGCCTTCTAGTTTCGGCATATTCTTAATTTTAAGTTCACTGTGATATATGAGATGCAAGCATTCACTAAAATTTAGGCTATTTAGTGACATAAACACATCAATATTTTTGAAATTATATAAAATGGTAAAAACAATACTTCGTATCATAAAATCAAATTATTTCAATAAAGATTCAATTCACAAATTGCACGAGGGCAGTTGAAAAAAGTTTTTATTTGTTTTGTTTTGAAAGTTCACAGTATCACAACTTAGTATACACATTTGTACTTTATGTTTGTAACTAAATTATAACATAACTACAAAGCTCATTTCCAAACAACTAAAAAGTAAAATAACAGAAATACCGAACTCTAAGGAAAATTCAAAACGGAAGTATTTTATCATTTTCTAAACAACTGATTAGCTATCAAGGTGTGAAGATATCTACAAAATGCAGTTTGACAGAGTATGTATCCAAAATTGACTAAGAATTGCCAGCAGAGGTATCGACCCAGTGCTGTAACAAAAACACGCACGTTATAAATTTCCTGCGTCCGAAGTGCTTTTCTGGATTTACCTCCATCAGGAACGCTCAAAGCCGAATATTTGAAAGCCAAGGATGTATAATAACCGAAAAATTTAAAAAGATTTTTAACTTCAGGACCTAAACAAATGCCAAATCCATCAAAGGTAAACTTTGTCTCACGGAGTTAAAAACTTAGTTTCTGTATAATTTCAAAAATTACAAACGGACAATTTTTGAAATATTTGTTATAAATCATTTCAGTATCAAAGTACTGACTACTGATGATATTCAGTTGTTATTGTTAGTTCATGTCTGTCATATTTGTTTTTTTGTATTTTGAATTTTAATGAATTAGGCTGTTTGATGTTTTATTAAATTTTTTCACATTTATCATGTCGGGGCCTTTAATAGCTCACAATACAGTATGGGTTTTTCTTCTTGTCGAAAGCCGAACAGTGAGCAAACTTGTTATTGCTTACCATCATGTCATTTGAATTCTACTGGATAGTTGTTTCATTGGCAATCATACTTCATTTCCATTTTTTGGTCATTATGACAATTGTAAGTTTAGTTAATGTCCACAAAGATTCAAATCATACTTCTTTTCCTTTTTTGGTCATTATAACAATTGTAAGTTTAGTTAATGTCCACAAAGATTCAAATCATACTATGGCAATTTAAAAAAAAACGCAATTGTTATAAATAAAATTACCGTATCTCAGCTTCATATATGTACAATTGTACTGGAACGACCTAATAACACTAGCATAAATAGAGTATTCCGGACTCATTTCAAATGTCAAAGATAGTTTAAAAAATCTCTTTTGGCATACTTTTAGTAATTTTGATTATGCATTAAAACATTGTTTTTTTTTTAATTCAAATAAAATTTATTTCCAATATCCTGTTACAATTACCTTAGAAGTGTTACATTTTCACTCCTGTCCAGAGAAAAACAGGCAAGATAAATGTCCACTTTACTTGTAGTTTTTCTTCAATCAAATTAACACAAAAGTCAAACACACCCAATATAATACATTAAATCGATCAAACCAGATCTATTAACAGTGGTACCTGTCTACAACATGGTAAGTTTTTAATCAGTTTATGTATATTTTTTTTTAATTGAATGTATCGATACGTAAACTTAAAAATGTGAAAGTAAAATTGAGAACGGAAATTGGGAATGTGTCAAGGATACAACAACCCGACCGAAGAGTACACACTTAACCTAATTATTACACATCTGATCTAATAAGTGTATGGGATCATTCATTTATGATATCTGGTTCTTTATTTTGTAAATGATTTAAACGTAAAACGATATTTTCTTTTAGTTCACAATAAAATTGTCTAAAAATTCTATTATTATTGCAAGTGATGTTTTCAAACTTTATTAGATTTCGAAGTTTCCATATAGTCCATTTGGCCATGCATATTAGGATATCGCCAAATATAGTTTCCTTTAAGGACCTGTCGTAAATACCTAGGATCATATTTCTCTCTTTTAGAATTATTTCATGTGTCAAGTGTACTTTTGTGAAATTATAGTTTTTAATTCTAATAGTAATGGGTAGATCTTTTATAATTATAAAAAAGTGGCAGTTACCTTGAACCAAAGAATGCTCAAATGGATGTAGTCTAGATTCGGTGTAAATAAAGTTATGAATAGACTTCCATTGGAATTCACAAATTTTATTTTTTATACAGAGATTTCTTAAATTATCCAAATATTGTTTAATTCAAATCCAAAACCAATATTTTATTGGAACTAATGTTATATGCTATCAGTCACTATCAAATATATTCCAATTTGCTAAAGATGCCATTCCTGTTAACATTATACAAACACAGGACGTATGATTTGCCAAATTACCATCACAAGAAATAGGAATGGCCGAGTATATCTTTATTTTTAAGGAAATATATGGAATATATTTGAGTTTCGTTTACAATAAACATTTCAGTACGTTTACATGTGTAATAACTTTGTGACACGATATTTTAACGAGAGGAATCTTACAAAAAGGCTAATGCATATTTCCAAACATAAATTTTTAATATTAAAACAAATGTATATTATCAATGACCATCTATACAACTGCGTAACTACTCACATATTACATAACGTTAACATAGTGACAACAGTGTAAAAGAGGAGGTTTGATACGAGCCATTATTCCGGGCCTGAAATAAAAAGTTCTTCTCTTTTTTTTAAAATTATATTAATTGTACTGATAGGTGAACAGAGTTATATTAGCTAGATACTTAAATTTAGAAAAGTCGCTGTGGCTTCAACATCATAATGATTGACAAAAATGACCATGATTCCAGGCCTTTTTATGAAAGATAAATTACCAGTATTAGCATCTTGATATCAGACATCATGAGCAGTTTATTTATTTGGATAAAGCCCCTAATTGGCTAAATATGAATGATACTATCATAGAACAAAAAAGTAACTTTTTCATAAATCCTTTCACAGTTGTTATCCATTCGTTTGATGTGTTTGAGCTTTTGATTTTGCCATTTGCTTAGGGACTTTCCATTTAGAATTTTTCCTCGGAGTGCGGTATTTTGCTTTTTTCTTCATACTATGGATAAATCAAAGCCGCTTTCTTGTCTTTTTTTTTTTTTTTTTTTATATATTTTCTTTTTTAGGCATGTTGACAACAATAGAATAGAAGTGATGGAGAACAACGACTTTCTTGCATGTTCTTCGCTACAATACTTGTAATTATTATACAAAGTATAGTATAAGTAAAAAATAGTACATGCTCTTTATATAATATGTTTTATATCACGTTCTTGTCTGTTTTTTTTTTGTTTGAATTGCTTCGTAATATGCCGAAAGGAATCCGACTTTGTTTTTTTTATGTGTGTTTATTTCGTTCATTTTTTTGGCTCTTTTGGCTTCTTCTTCTCTTTTTATCAGTAAAGAGACGAAGACAGCAATGAGAAAAAACCTTTAAAATCTATGAAGTCGTTTAGAGGTCCTAGTTCGAAAGTTAGAAAAGAATATTCGACCTGCAAAGATCGATTTCGAATATTCTGATAAGTCGCATACTGTTTTCTTATGTACATTATCTATGTTTTGAAATTTGATATTTGATGAATAAAGCTGGTTCTGTGGTTTGAATTCTCGCGCCCTCTGAGCAGGTGTTTGCGTTTTGGAAATATGGAGCTTGTTCTTGATGTCGGAGAAGAGAGAAAGACGAGATAATTCATAATAATCAAACACGTGAATTACTTTTCATGAATACTGTAATGCAGACCGAAAATGATAGATAACGATCTTCAGTTTGGTAGCTTATGAAGCAGATTTACCCCTGTCTTACACTAGAAAAGGTCCTGCAAATATGCGGAGGATGCCGGAATGTATACCAAAAGGGAAATAATGTAAAATAAGTACTTTACATCGTATGCTAATAAATTGAATACGAGTGCTCAATAGAGCGATTCAAGACTACCAAAAATCAATTGTAAGCGTAAAATTAACGGAAATGATTTCACAGCAAAATTTTAGAACTAAACAAAACAGTGACCCCCTGAGTCTGAAATATAAGTTAAAGTAACGTAAACCATAGCTCCTGGTACTTCACTACTTGTGATAAATATTTGATAATTTGTGGACCTTAGGGTTCAGGTGTTGTTATATCTCCATAAGGAGAAGAACATTTTCTGGGGTTAAAGATCATGAATGAGGAGGTTTATTGCAAACAAAATTTTCATTTTTTCTTGTTGCAAAATTCAAATATTTGATGCGGACGATTTCGCCCCAATTTCAGTCGTCACATGGATTCGTTTCGCCACTAATGTTGTTTTTCCGCAAAATTTCTGAGTACAGGGTCATTTCACAGAGATTTTATACCGGTATAATGAAATTTTTAAAAGTTTGTTATTTGGCCATGAACATGAACTTATTAAAACACATTTTATGGAAGCACCGTTTAGTCTAGCCATTTATGGTTAAGCATGCATAGCGTCAAAGTTTAGAACGTTTCTCTATATAGGCTGTACAAATTATTTTAAAAAATAAATTATTTAAGAAAACTACCTTTCCTATCTGAGGAGTAGTTATATATATCCTGTTCGAACCCCATGAAGTCGGACACTGGACGCGGACGTCATACTTTAGTGTTGAACCATTCGACCCTTAAAAACAAAACTTTGAAAACAAAACTTTACGACAAAAGAGATGATTTCAGCTTTCCAATTGTAAACTTTCTATTTCTATGTAGCAAAATTCCAGCAGCGCCTGCATACGGAGTATATATCTCCTAATTGATACGATATTCCGGGGCTTGTATTTCCTATCATGATTTCCTTGATAGAGGATTGCTGCTCACAAGGAAGCTATTAAACCAATTAAACCAAGAGTTCCAAATGGTGAAGTTGAAATCATCCCTTCGTAAATTTTACGGACGCCATCACGAGTTGGTTGACCGTTATGGAATAACCGTTTCACAGATGATATCGGATATGTTCCCTATGTCGTAACTACAATACCCTTCCCTTTTCACGAATGTGACCTACCGAATTAGACTATTCACCGGCATTGTAATAATATAAGCAACATGACGGGAGCCACATGTAGAGCAGGGTCTGCTTACCCTTCCGGAGCACCTGAGATTACCCCAGTTTTGTTGGGTTCGTGTTGCTAATTAGTCTTTAGTTTGATATGTTGTGTCATCTGTACTATTATTTGTCTGTTTGTCTTTTTATTTTTGGCCATGGCGTTGTCAGTTTGTTTTCGATCTATGAGTTTGACTGTCCCTCTGGTCTCTTTCGTCCCTCTTTTAAACCTGTACACGGGACGTGGATGCCATACCTTAGTGTTATAAAAGTCTACCATCCAAGGTGGACGCTAATAGTGACGTCATACCCTATAGTTGGACAAGTCTATCCTCCAAGATGGATGAAAGTGGACGGCACACCCTATCAAACGGACGCGTTTTTTTTTCGAATATTTGAAAATCTCACTCACTCTTCCAGACACTAGATCTGGATCAAGGCTTGAGACCTGCTACACATACATGTAAGTACAACCAAATATGGCTACGAGCTTTCTGGCATTCTTAATCAGGTCAGTAAAAGAAAAGTCGTTTAAAATATCCTCCATCTTGTGTCCCCGACATCTCAATTTGACGTAATAAATGCAATAAAGGCCACAGGTATCTGATTCATCGGGTTGAATTTGATTGCTGACAACCCATATTGTCGTCCATTAACGATGAGTACATTTCTAAAATAGTGTTGTTACGTTTCCGGTTATTGTCCTAAGGAGTTGAAAAATTTGGGTTGATCCGATGCGGGAAAATATAAAGCAATCCAATGACTACCCTTTTGATCACAGTTATCCGTATTGACCACAAACGTTCTAGGCCCGTCGCTCACATAGGTAGGCATGTCGTCCGCACAGCAAACGGTCACGGGTAAAACGCTCAAAGTATCCTCTACGTCCTTCCCGGTCATCGGGAGACCAATGACGTTTTCTTCTTACACCCTTGCTGACTATGGGATTTCAATCCACGAATGTGAGCAAACACTACTCCGCAATCCCGACATGCAATGATATCTTCTTGTATCTAGAAATAGCTGCAGTTTTTTTTTGTCCTGTCGGCAATGTCTTCTTCTGATGAGACCAATATATCGTCTTCAAATGTATTGGTTAGATGGTCGTCCTCCATCTTTCCGTCTTGTGTCGAGGAATCTCCTTTACCCATATGCAAGACATCTGTGCGCAATCTGGATGATTTCGGGGTTCTAGCTTTAAGGTCAACAAGAAGGTGCCCGAAAGGTTTCTTCGTTGACTCTGCGAATTTCCAGATAAAGAAATCAGCTCGAGAAGGATACATCTGTCGGCCAAGAGTCATTATTGGCTGTCGGTCAATTGGGTTATTAAAGAGAACGAGATAATGACAGTTTCGTCTCTGGGTTGGGTTTTTGCCAGTGTACAAGTTCTGATTTAAAACGGCTACCGATGTCGACACAAGGTCGTCTAAAATGATCATGTTTCGAATGTTGGGATCGAAAGGAATTCCACGAATGAATTCAGCGCGTGGAAGCACTGTTCGTTGTATTTCCTCGTAAAGAAGTTGCCTTTTTTTATCCAACCAAACGATCCTTTCTAGACTAGGACTACACAACCTTTTTAGTGCAGCGGCTACAAGCATATTTCAGACGAATTGTGCACATCCTGCTAAAAGCATGAAATTTGGCATAGACATTCCTCAACTATTACTCTTTTATTTCAGATAGGGAGGCATTTGAAAAAAATGTCTCACTTCCGGTAAAATCCAAAATGGCGGACATCCTACCTAAATTAGCCCAATATCGATGGCTAGTATGTGAAAAGGTGTTATTATCATGCTACTATCATAATATTTGGTACAAACCTTTGTTATGCACTACTTTTAGATGTATTATATAGATTAGATGTCTTCAAAAACCCTACTGCCGGTAAAATCCAACATGGCGGACATTGTACTAAAATAAGCTTATTTTTAGGGAGGGTAAATTGAAATGTGTTTTAACGTATTGCTACTATCATTACATTGTGCAGGAACCTTTCTTTGGTGCTTCTCATGGATACAATGTATAAGACATATGTCTTTAAAACCTTTACTTCCGGTAATATTCAAAATGGCGGACATAAAAATATCAAATTTTTACTTTAATATTAAACTTTTTTCAAAATGTAAAGAAAATGGTTTCTTTTTGTGCTGGTCCTTAAACTTTTGGCTTTATCCTCAATCCATATCTTCGATGTAGATTTTTGCATAGATTGATTAAAACAAAATAAAATCACTAATAAAAGTACTAAAACATTTTTAAAATTACTACTATTTGGCAAAAAATACATGTTTATTCACAGTCACCACCACATGCACACAAAGCAGTGCACGGGAGACCCGATTTTCCACATCAACAACGACCACGGCATCCTTTCTTACATCCACAATGTACAAGCTTTTGACAAAATGATGAGGCCTCAGAAAGAGTTTTTTTAAAGTGATCCTCTTTGTCCCTTCGCCATCCATTAGCGCCTGGACTGGGTAGCATAAGAACCAATTCCAAGCTCGTCCCCCTTAACACCTGCCTTAGTATATTGCACGTTTAACATGCTGGAAAAGACTGGACCAAGTTGAGGGAATAGCCTCAATTAGCCTTTCCTTTTGCGCAAATAGTTATTTTCTTGCTTCGTTAACCATGTTAACCCCATCTGATAAGTTTGTGCGATCTTACAGTTAAACCCCGTTGATTTAGGCTGATCAATCATCATTCCTTATGTTAAAGTCACATCTTCAAATGCCATCAATGTCTCCTACGCAGTCTTTTTTTCCTTTTCAGGCGAACATAGAACCGTATCACAACCGGTTAAGGCATAGATCACAATAAGTCTGTGTGATCACTCATTGCGTAAAGCATTTGAAAGGTCATTGATAGATATTTATCCAAAGCTTTTTGCCCTCCCAAACACAATCCATAGTTCGTCTACCCCTATGTCACGGAATAGCGAAATAGTAATGACAGCATCATCAGTAACAACTGTTCGAATCATGACTCGTTTGAGTTCGTGTTTCACTGCATCAGACACATGCACCATGATTCTAGTGTCAGCCTCTTAATGCGAACATGGTGCTAAACTTGAAATACTTCACGTGGTGTATAAGATAGAATATCCTGAGCATTTGTTGCTACAACTACCATACGCATCCAAGACTTCGTCC